ACAGTACAAACCATGTCTCAATGGAAATACAACACCAGAGAACATCAGAACTATTTACAACAGAAAGCTACCTTTGCTTATTACTAATTGTGGCCACAAACATAGATCTATGAGCTCACTCACCATGAGAGTATAAAATCATTATTATAGAAAAAAAGGCCAGGTAAGTAGAATTACAACTTTCAAAGCCTGGACATGAAGAAGCACTTGACAGAAGAAAATAGCTAGTTTTAAGAACTGTTGCATTTACTGAAACTGCACATGAATTTCCAATCACTTTTAGCATGATGGATTTTTAGGAAAGATTTACTTTTGTTTTCTGTATGAGTGTTTGCCTGTATGTATGTTTGTGCAGCACAGACATGCCTAGTGTCCTGGAGGAGGAGAGAAGAAGATGCCGGAACTCTGGAACTGGCTGGAGTTACAGTCCTTTGTGAGCTGCCGAGTGAGTGTTGGAAATCACACTGGGTGTCTCTGACAAAGCTGTAAATGCTCTTAACCACTGAGCCATTTCTCCAGCCCCTATGTTGGATTTCTAAAACACTGGGAATTTTGTTATATTATATCCTTCCTCAAAATATTTTCCCAAGCCGGGCAGATAATGATGGCCCTGGTCTTTAATCCCAGTACTCAGGAGGCAGAGGCAGGTGGATCTCTGTGAGTTCAAGGCCAGCCTGGTCTACAGAGCAAGTTCCAGGACAGCCAGTGGTACACAGAAAAACCCTGTCTTGACAAAATAATTATTGTTCTCTTCCACAATAAAATTTTGATATGGATGCACTACAGCTTTGCCCAACATTGAAAATTCATCAAGAGATGAGCTATCTTCTTCTAGATACCCAGATTCACAGCACAGTGCCTTCCCATGTAGGGTATGTTGTGCAATTTTCCCAAGGATTCTGTCTGTTGACTCCACATAGACCCAAATAATTCAATAGGTTTGCTGTCTAAATAATTGTCCATTTCAAAGTGTTTGGGGAATTCTTTTTAAAACTTGGTATCCTCTACAGACTGTTGTACATGAATTGTTTTATTACCTTCTCTTAGTGTCTGTCATAGTTATCTTTTCTGTTGCTGCAATAAAACACTCTGACCAAAAGCAACCTGAGGAAGAAAGAGTTTATTTCATTTTCAGGTTACAGTCCATCATAAAGAGAAGCCAAGGTAGGGACTCAACGTAAGGGCTCGTGAGAGAAAACACATGAGCGGTGTTTTCTGGCTTGTTCAGTTTCCTTTGTTATGCAATCCAGGCCCACTTACCTAGGGATGGGTCTACCCTCACTGGGCGCTCCCCTCATACATCGATTAAATACTAAGAAAATGCTTCACAGATACAGCCACAGGCCAATCTGATCTGGAAAGTTCATCAACAGTGGTTCACTTTTCCCAGGTGACTTTAGGTTTGTGTCAAGTTGACAGCTAAAGCTAACTATGACAGTATCCATTTGAATTCATTTAGGTCAGACCACAGTTGGCCAACTTTGCATCACCACTCAGGCATAGATACAAAGCGTACTTCATTTTCTTCAAGTTCCTACTTGTTCAGAATCTTTACCCTCCTCCCAAGAGCCACTGTGAAGTAGGCATTTGGTCTTTGGATAACCAATGTTTACTTTAAAATGAGACCCTCAGAGCAGCCACTTAGGAAGCATCCTCAGTTTATATATCTTTGAGTTGTTGCATCCGTGAGCAACATCGATCATATTCAAATGATTCTCTACACCTTCTGAAAGTGTTACTTGATCTCAGGGCTGAGTATAGACTCAATAGCTTCACCCCATGCTGCAAGTACAGTGTGCTCTAGTCAGATGGAACTTTCATTTAAGGCAAATATGGATTGACATTGTTCGTTATTGTTCAGTTATGAATTCCAAACTTCAAGGGCTACTTCATGCTGGTTGTCATCATTTCTGGAGGCTATCTGGAGAATAAAGGGAATTGTGGGAAAGTGTTGTTAGTTTCTTCTCTACTGTCAACTGTAAGAAAATTTCCAGAATATAACTCGGTTCTGGTGGAGGGAAGAATCAGTGTGATTGCTGGTGAGTAGTATCTGCTCTCAACCTTCCCACACCATTGCTTTCAGTCCTTCCACCGTCTGTAGTTTCTCAGACACATCATAGCTGCCCTCGGTAAGCATTCTGTCTAATGCATTGTTATGATTGTCAGATTGTGTCCTGATCACATAATCCTTCTTTGTTCAAAGAAGCTGGACTCTGAGTTTCACATATACAGGGACTGAATTACCACATTGTAAGCACCTACAATAGTGTACATTCTACAAATATGCTATACTCTTCTGTAAGTCATAAGAATCTTTTTTTTTTTCCGAGACAGGGTTTCTCTGTGTAGCTTTGCACTTTTCCTGGGACTCACTTGGTAGCCCAGGCTGGCCTCAAACTCACAGAGATCCGCCTGGCTCTGCCTCCCGAGTGCTGGGATTAAAGGTGTGCGCCACCACCGCCCGGCAAGTCATAAGAATCTTAAGTGTTGTTATGTACACAGACTGGCAATTTTCAAAATCAAAATCTGAATTCAAAACTCTTTCTGTTTTTCTTTAATATGAATGAGAAGAATGGATGACAAACATCACAGGAAGTAGTGAAAATGAATGTTTTGGAAAGAAATATGGCAGAAATGAAAACTGAGCAAAGGCTACATTGAAAGCCTTTGGATATGACTGTGGGTGGAAGTAAGCATGGTTAGAGGCAGGAGCTAGAAAGAGGCCCCTTGAGAGGGAAGAGCCAGGGAAGATCCAACTTTGAGTGGGATGGTCAAGGAGATCACTGTAAAACATGGTATCAAAGTGGAAGGAGAAATTCTGAGAGTAGGAGGGAGATGAAAGTGAGATGGGCAGACAGAGGAGTGGGTGGTAGGCTGAATGATGTAGCTAGAGTTTTCCGCCTTGCCCACAGTCAGGACAAATCTTTGTCACCCGCCAGTCCCACAGCCACTCAGACCCAACCAAGTAAACACAGAGACTTATATTGCTTACAAACTGTATGGCTGTGGCAGGCTTCTTGCTAACTGTTCTTATAGCTTAAATTAATCCATTTCCACAAATCTATACCCTGCCACGCGGGTCGTGGCTTACCGGTGTCTTCACATGCTGCTTGTCATGGTGGAGGCTGGCAGTGACTCCTTTTGCCTTCCTTTTCTCCTGTTAGTCCCGCCTATACTTTCTGCCTGGCCACTGGACAATCAGTGTTTTATTTATTGACCAATCAGAGTAATTTGACATACAGACCATCCCACAGCAGAATGAACCAAAACTATGTATGAAAATGTCATGGAGAAATCTGGTTTTTAATAAACTACATAAATGAATACAGCCTTTTGGAGAGCTGAGTATGAAATCCATTTGGTAGAATGCTTACCTAGCATACTCTGAGTTCTGGATTTGGTTCCTGGCCCCTCATACATCTGATATGCTGGCATATTCCTGTAATGCTAAACCTTGGGAGAGGGAGGCAGCAGGGTCAGAACTCCAAGAACTTGTAAAGGTGAGAGGATCAGGAGTTCCAGGGCTGGAGAAATGGTTCAGTTCATAAAGTGTTTGCTGCATGGGCATAACACCAGAATTGGATAATTAGTAAACAGAAAATGCCAGGTGCTCCCTACCTTGCCTGACTCTAGTACTGAGGAGGACAATGAGCACAATCCTGGGGCTTGCTGGATAGCCAGTCTGGCCAGATCAGTAATCGCCAGGTCCTGTGAGAGAAACTGTCTCACAAAATAAGGCGAAGAAGGAATGAATGAGATATCTGATGCTGGCCTATGACCTCCACACACCCACAACACATCTTGTATGCCCACATAGACATATGTGCTCAATCATGTCCATATGTATACACTCAAAGGCATACACGCAAGCATGCCACACAAACACAGGTACACATGCACAAACACAGAGACATAAAGGCCATTCAAGGTCAACTTTGTCTATATAGCAAGATTGAATACCTGAAAACAAGTCTCAAAAAATAAATTCATTAATAAAACGAATCAAGAGAAAATAAAAATGTTTTCAGCTCCCTTGGAATTTCTACATAGAACACAAGCAAAGATGGAAATATGGGAGTTTATTGTGGAGAAGAGATGAAATTTTCATGCCTGTGCCCAAATTCAATATGACACTCTTGAGCATGCTTTTCTATGATGACATCATCTAATTAACAGGGCAGCTGAAAAGTCACCTATTCCAACTGGCCCCAAAACATTGATAGTTGGATTTTTTTTTTTAGAGAGAGAATTACTTGTCAGATCAGTGGTTGTGAAGCTGTAAGATACTTTGTAATCTCCATCACTAGCCCACTGAAAGTGATAATTTATGATTATGTATATGTGTGTATGTAACACATGGGGGATCCTTTTCTATGAGCAAGTAGTACCACTACTGCCTTACAAGGCTGAGAACCATTTTCCCCAGATTCCTGCATTTTTCTGGGGTTAACATTTGCCAATGAAAAAGATATATGGGTATCTTGTAAAATAGAAACCTAGTGGTGGTCATTTATGACTCAGAAGGTCATGAACATCAGACAGGGCATTGCAATATCTTACTTATAAGTAATATAGTTACGATCTCTCCATAAATGGCCAGTGTCATGGTTAGAAGTCACAGTAATTCCTAAGACATTTCCACCTTTGTCAGGGACGTTTCTCCTTCTTCTGCTGCTTTAGGCTGACACTCTCTAGCTGCAGTTTTAGAAATATTTTCTATTCCTCTCCTCCTCAAAGAGCCCCTAATTCCTACAGTATCTGTACTAGCTCTATTACATCCCACCTGTCCCCAAACATCTTCAGTTTCTTTAATAAACCTTGTAACTCCTGAAGAATTCCAGACTTACCAGTTATAGTAATATATCTCAAGTCCAACTCAATCACACAAACCACACATGGAGCTGATAATACCAGATTCGGGGAGGGGGTTGGAATAGTATGTCTCTTGTTGAGAGTAAGAAATGCAAAACTGCAGATTCTTTAAAAGAAAATTTGGCAGATTTTTGCAAAGTCAAACATTGTTTTAATATAGAATCCATTAATCACATCCTTTAATTGGTATTTAGTCAATAGTATTGATATATATCATTAAAACAACCAGAAATACAGAGGTCTTTAGGCTTTGTATTAATAATCACAGCAACTGGAAGCAACTACGGGATTTTAAAGGGTGAATACATATTTTTACGTGTGATAAATCCATCCAACATTAATCAATGACAAACAGAAATGAGCTATAAAACCACAAAATACAGAAGAAACTTTAATGGCGTATGAGTCAGTCCCAAAAGCATCTGATAGTACATGGTTCTGTATAATATGGCAGTCTGGAATAGATAAAAGTGTGAGCACAATAAGTCTTTGATTCACATTGGTTGAGGGAGAGATGAGACAAAGACACAAATCACAGGCTTTTAGGCAACCAAACTTCTGTGTGGCAATCTAAGGACCAATGTGTGACATTACACACTTGCTAAATCCTGTAGAAACTTACAGTGCATAGTGAACCTTAAGCTACTCAAATTTACAAAGTCATTTATGAAACACGCGGCATCAAAGGAAAGAATGTATGTGTGCCCTGACAAGAAAATTTAGTAAAATTTGATTGATTTTGCTCTAAATGTGTAATGAATCTCCCCTTGTTGGGAAGAGGACCTGACTGAAGCACACTTAGAAAGAAATGACATGTTTAAGATTAAAAGCAGAAGAAATTTGGGCTGGAGATATAGCCTAGTGGTTAAGAGCACTTCCTGCTCTTCAAGAGGACCTGGGTTGAATTCCCAGGACCTACATGATAGCTCACAACTGTCTGTAACACCAGTGCCAGAAGATCTGATGCCCTGTTTTGGCTTTTATGGACATCAGATACACATGTGATGCATAGACTTACATGCAGGCAAAATACCCATACACACAAAAACAAATAAAACTGAAAACAAACAAACCAACAACAACAGAAAAAAACTGTGCAGACATATTATCTAGTTGATATGGTATTTCCCATCCAGGTACAAATTAACACACGTGTGTATTCACTACTGTTTTGTGTCTATGCATAAAGAGCGTTTATGCACATGTAGATATGTCTCTGTTTCAGAGAATATTATTGTACTTCCAGGACTCATCTAGAGAATTATTTGCTGTGTACTACCTCTGTATGCATTAAAACTATGCTAGGCAATGGAGACACACCACAAACAAAGACACAGCCTGCGTCTCTAGAGACCAGTGTGACTAAGTCATGAAAATGGCAGATAAGGAGCTAAGCATTAGGGCAAAACTGCAGAAACAGACCTCTTTCTCATGGTCTAAAAAGGTGGTGTGCTGGCTGGTGCTTTGTCATTGTCATATGAGCCCGAGTCCTATGGGAAGAGGGGAGCTTGCCTGAGAGAATGTCCCCACAAGTTTGGCAGGTAGGCAAGCTTGTGCTGCTGTTTCTTAATCAGCTGTTGGTACAGCTGGAAGACCCAGCCCATTGCAGGTAGTGCCACCTTTGGGCAAGCAGTTCTGAGTTATATAAGAAAGCAAACTGAGCAACCATGAGAGCAAGCCGGTAAGCAGCATTCCCTCCTGGTTTCTGCTGCAGTTCTCGCCTCCAGGTTCCTGCCTTGACTTTCCTGACTGATGGACTACACGTTATCAGCTGAAATAAACCCTTCCCCACCTCCAAGTTGTTTTTGCTCATGATGTTTTATTACAGCAACAGGAACCCTAACTAAGAAAGGTATCATTACTAAGTAAACCCAGGAATCTGTCAGAAATAGAATTAACTGATCTCTGCCCCAATTTTACCTGTAAAACTGTGGACAGTTGATGGCTTCTAGGGAAGGAAGGGCCAGTTTCCTTTAAGGGTGAGGCTTTGGTAGGTAGACCACACTCCAGTGGGCAGCCCACATTTAGAAGCACATGGACAGAGCAGATGGGAATCCATGGACTATTAAATGTAAAAAGAGAAGAGACAGAGAATTGGGTAGGTAGAAAGGTGGGGTGGATCTGGAACAAGTAGGAATGAATATGGTCAAAATAAACTGCATGGAATTCTCAAAGAATTGATAAAAATATTCAAAACTAATCAATGTCTCACCATCTTTCTGCCAAGTTTTCTTTCTTTACTAAATCTCCATTGTTGCCCCTGACCATATGAAGGTGAACACTTTAGAACCCTGTAAGCAATTGAAGGTTAGCGATAGATAGCTTTGTTGAGTCATCAGCTAGGTTAGTCCAGAACTAAGCAGAACAATATTGCTGATGAGATTACTCAAGAGTTGAATGTCTGGGTATTCTAATTAGTTTCCATTCTGTCTCTGTGATCAAACGAACAAACAAAAATAGTATGACCAAAAGCAATATAGGGAACAATTTTTAGCTTCATATGGAAGGAAAAAAAAACAGGATAGCTTTAACAATCCTGAATAATAAAAGAAATTTTGGAGATATCACCAAGCCTGACCTCAAATTATACTACAGAGCTATAGTAATAAAAATGGCATGATATTGGCATAAAAACAGACATGTAGATCAATGGAATAGAATTGAAGACTTAGATTTAGGTCCACACACTCATGGGTACCTGGTGTTTGATAGGTAAGCTATAAATACACACTGGAGAAAACACAGAATTGTCAGCAAATACTGCTAGTCATATGGATGTCTGTATGTAGAAGGATGCAAATAGATCCATATTTATCACCCTGAAGAAAACTCAACTCCAAATGGATCAATCACCTCAACATAAAACTAAAGACCCTGAATAACATAAAGCTAGAGACCCTGAATCTAATAGAAAAGAAAGTGGGGAAAACTCTTGAACTCATTGGCACAGGAAAAGACTTCCTGAATAGAATGTTGATAGCACAGATACTAAGAATAATAAAAAGAGGGACCTCACTAAACTTGAAAGCTTCTACATGGCAAAGAACACCATCATTTGGACAAAGTGGCAGGCTACAGAATGGGAAAAGATTTTACCAACTGTATCCTATAGAGGGCTAATATCTAATCTCTCTCTCTGTATATATAATTTTATATATGTGTGTGTATGCTAAAAAAGACAAAAACCCTTCACAATCAGAAAGGAACCCATTTAAAAACAGAGTACAGATATAAACAGGGAGTTCTCAAAAGATGAAATACAAATGGCCAACATCCTTAGTCATCAGGGAAATACAAACCAAAACTACTTTGAGATTTCATCTTACACCAGTCACAATGGCCAAGTTCAATAAAACAAGTGACAGCTCATTCTAGTGAGGATGTGGTGTAAGGAAAACACTCATTCACTGCTTGTTGGCGTGCAAACTTGTACAAACACTATGGAAAAACTTTGTGGAGGTTCCTCAGGAAGCTGGGAATAGGCCTACCTCAGGATCTGGCCATCCCACTCCTGGGCATATACCTAAAGGACTGTATATCCTACTACAGAAACACTTGATCAACCATGTTCAGGTGTAAACAGCCTAGATGTCCATCAACAACTGAGTGGAGGAAGAAAATTTGCTATATTTACATAGTGGAATATTACTGAGCTGTTTAAAAAAAAACCCTCAAATTATGAAATTTACAAGTAAATGAATAGAGCTACAACAAATCATCCTCGTTAGGTAACCCAGATCCAGAGGGACAAATATGGTACATATTTGCTTAGAGGTGGGTGCTAGCTGATTTTACAATATTTCTTTGTGTGTGAATATGAGTCCCTCTGCCTCTGTATGTGTTTCTTGTGCTTTTTCTTTGTCTCTCTTTTACTGTTTGTTTGGTCCTATCCTGTTTTGTTGTGTTTCATTTTATCTTTTTAGATGCCTGTTTGTTTTCCTATAAGAGAGAGAAAATAATGTGGTGTGGATTTGAGTGGGTGGGAAGGTGGAGAGAATCTGGGAGGAGTTGGAGGAGGGGAAATCATGATCAGAATATTTTGTACAAAAATTATTATCAATTAAAAATGGTGGTATATATAGGAAACAAGGGATGGGGGATAAGAACATGAGGGAACGGGATGGTTGAGCTGGGGGAAAAACACAGTGGGAGAGCAATGAAAGAGATATCTTGATAAAGGGAGACATTATGGGGTAAGGGAGAAACCTGGTTTTAGGGAAATTCCCAGGAATCCACAAGGATGACTTCAGATTAGACTACTAGCAATAGTGGTGAGGGTGCCTGAACTGGCTTACCCTGGTAATCAGATTGGTGAATACCCTAACTGTCATTATAGAGCCTTCATCCAGTAACTGATGTAAGCAGATGCAGAGATCCACAGCCAAGCACCAGGCTGAGCTCCGGGAGTCCAGTTGAAGAGAGAGAAGAGGGATTATATGAGCAAGGGGGGTCAAGATCATGATGGGGAAATCTACAGAGACAACTGAACCAAGCTCAAAGGAACTCACGAACTTTAGACCAATAGTTGTGGAACCTGCATAGGAGTGGACTAGAACCTCTGCATAGGGAAGGCAGTTGTGTAGCTGGGCTTGTTTGAGGGGCCCCTGGCAGTGTGATCAGGATTTATCAGGATTAGCTGGCTTTTGGATCCCATTGCCTGTGGTCAGACACCTTGCTCACCCTGATGAAGTGGTTAGGGGCTTGGTCCTGCCTCAGCTGAATGTGCCAGACTTAGGTGTCCCCTGATGGGAGAACTTGCCCTGTTGGAGGAGGGGGTGAGGGGTGAGTAGGGAGAGAGGACTGTGAGTAGGCAGGGGTGGGGGGACGAGAGGAGGGATGAGAGGGGAATCTGTGTTTGGTATGTAAAATGAATAAAAAAATTATTTTCAATTAAAAATGCATGTTATATATAGGAAATAGATTAAACCATCAATTGTCTATGAAATACAACTCAACATTTAAAAGTTTAAAAAATATTTTCATTGCCTACAGAAAAACAATACACAGGCAACTGCCTTAAAGACAGGACTGACCGAATTCTCTATAGTCCTCAGGCTTCTAGACTCAGTATTTCTACGTCCCTTTGAATACACAAATTTCCTTGTACCATGTTTCATGGTTTTGTTTAATATCATCAAGGATGTGTTTCATTGAGGAGCCCAATTCAATGACACTGGAATACCCACTTTCATACTCACAAATGAAGCCAGCAGTGTGCATGGCTACCAGTGATCCTCTAGCATCAAATATAGGAGATCCAGAAGACCCACAATAAAAAGTATTATCCCAGGTAGCCACACCAGGATCATGGATGTTCTTCTGGAAACTTCTTTGGGTGTACATATAGATATACTGCATGGAATCACTGAAATCCACTGCTCCTCTTCCCTGAATGTCCTCACATTTCCTTCTTTGCTCATTTTCAGGTACCACAGTACAACCATCAACAACCTTGTATTTTCCATCTGGATGACCAATCATATACATAAACCCACTAACTGATTCAGAAGGTGTTCCATTACAGAGTCCTGTAGGAATATGCCGTCTGTTTCCTTTCAGTTTCAGGACAGCATAATCAAGAGTTACATCAGACACCTCAAACCAAGGTTCAACAGAGCAATAGCTGTCTTCTTTTATGGGGAACACTTGATATTCAAATGTCACTCTTACACATTGACTAAGTATATCTGCCCACTGACTTGGCTCTACGCCTTCCCCTACAATGTCATTTATTACATGTCGACAAGTGAAAATGTACATCCCTTTGAAAACAAAGCATGTGGCACTACCCCTGTTTCCATTGTTGTCCCAAACTATGAGCCCAACTGAGTCACTGAGCTGTGAAAGAAGTTTGAAGACTTTACCTGGGATGGAGTTTTGGGTCAGCTTCCTGAAGTTTGCTCTATGTTCTTTGAATAAGTTAGCTTTCTTTCTTTTCTCACTTTCTTCCTTGATGTATGCTCTCAGTTTTTCCCGTTCTCTTTCCAATGTGGGGTACAAATTCACAATGTATTCTTTTAACTCACTGAAGTTTCTGTCCTCTAACTCAGAATTCCGAGTTGCTGCTACCGCCCAAGGGCTTTTCTTTCTTTCAACCTCAACCAGAAAGACCTTACCCTGTAATACATCAACCAGCTGGGTGTTTGCTATGATGGTATCATTGTGGATGAGTTTCCAATGGTCACTCTCCACAAAGGAATGAAACCTGCCATCCTTCCTCAGAGTGGCCTTGATGGTCTCTCCTTTGAAGCCATACACACAGACTTTGATCCCCTCCTTGTCAAGTTCCCTGCACCTCAGGATCCTATTCCCGACTGCATGAATGTAAAATACAACACACTCAGCAGAAGACTGGTCAAACCGGCCACACACTTCATTATCTTCTTTCTCCTCACTTTGAGTTTTGGAAAAGGTAATGACCACATGGCTCCCTTCTGGAAAACAACGGAGGGGCATGCCGAGGTTTATGTACCCTTCTATTCCTTCTTTGCCACACACCAGCATTTCTTTGCCTGGCTGTCTTTCTATCTCTCTTTTGACAGGGTCAAGGGTGTTGAGTGCCTCATATAAGCGACCTGTCCCCGCATCGATGAGAATGTGCATATGTGCCTCGGGGCTTACCCCCAAGGTGATGTTGATAATTTTAATTGGGAGAGTGGTCTGATCTTGTCGAGTTTTTTGTTCCCCGTGTGAACTTTGGTCTTGGTTGTTGGTCACCTCCTTTGGTCTTTTTCTACATTTCATTTTCATTTGAGAAAATATGGGCTCATTCTGCTCTTTGGGGACCTAAAAAGAAATAATAGACACATTAGAAAACTGTGACTACAACTGTATTCCTGTGATTTTTGTGTGCAATTCACATGATTCCTATCTAAAATTAAGAAGCAATGTGGAAATACCAGCAAGTAATATTACATCAGAGCTGATCTGGATTCTGCAGCAAAGCCCAGTCTTTTCACACTCACCAGAGAGTCTCTTCATATCAGACCTGCCATGTTTGCTCAGCAAGCAGGCAGAAGGAATTAACTCATCCAGATGTATCAAAATCTATTGGCTTCGATAAGTATTGCATTCTTCTTTGTTATTTTAAACGAGATATTTTAAATTTTTCAAGCATAATAACAGATTGCTTGAGTTCTTTTGTAATTTCTTTGCACATGTACACACACAACTGAGAGGCAGAGTCTCACTGAATAGCAAAGGCGACTGTGCACCTAGATCTGCAGTCTAGGTTGGCCTCAAATTCACAATTATCATGGCTCCTCGCGACCTTGATTTAATTAGCATCTACCACAAAAGGAACTCACACTATTTGCTTTAGTATGTCAGTTTTCAAGCATGATGAAATATTCAGGAACAACAATAACTAAAAGGTCACTGTCCTGTAGAAGAAGACGAAGTATGTAATGTGTATTTTCTAATTCCTTTCTGCTTCACATTTAAAAAATAATATAAGAAGATAAAACAAAAACTAACACATCAGAGTTGAACAAAACAAACAGAAGAAAGAGCCTAAGACAAGGTTTAAAAATCAGAGAATCACTTGTAGGCACACTCAGGAATCCCATGAAAACACTAAAGTAGAAGCCATGATATATACACAGAGGACCTGATGCGGAGCCATGCAGGTCCTGTGAATGCTTCCTCAGTCTCTGTGAGTTCACATGAGCTTTGACTGAGTGCCTTTCTTAATCACATGATAACCAATAAGCAAGTGAGTTTTTGAAGTCTGGTAGTTAGTCTAATATTCTCCATTCTGTTGTGTAAATTTGTACTCAGAACACCCATGTTATGAGCCATTATCTTAAAACCAGGAATGGGAAGAAGGGAGGGACTAAGGGGAAACGACTTAAAGTAGAAAAAATGATTTAAAAATTAAGGCATCCGATTCCTGTGTCTGAAAGTTTTAATTTCCCTGTTGGTGTAACAAGCAGGTATGAGTTCACATGCCCGCGATGTCTCTCACTGGTAATGAGAATAACAATGGTGAAGCATGGTGAAGATTAAGCCTGTCATCTTTAATATTGATGCTGATATTCTGGTGAGAACAAAATAATGTAAGCTTATATAAATTTAAAGCAGGTTGCCTAGGAAGTCTCCAAGAGTGTCTCTTCAGTCTAAATATGCTGAGAAACATTCCTGCCACACTCCTTGAAAGAACTGAAATACACTTTCTACTCTTTAACAGAGACACCTAAACACCATTAGACTTTGTGCTTGTGAGTGCAGGCCTGAAGCATGCTGTGCCACTCATGTGGAGGGCAAAGGACCATGGTGTGGGGTCAGTTCTCCTCAGACATCCCAGGGACCTAACTCAGGTGGTTAGGTTTGCTCTCCAACTACTTTCAATTCCTCCGCCGTGGCAGAGGCCCTAGATATCCAAAAGTTTTCTTTTGACTGTTAAGACACTATAGCCCAGGCTTGTAGCTGGAGAGTTACTCTCCAGCTCCTCCCAAGCCCTGGCAGTCCCTCAACCCACTTATAAAATAAACACACAGATGCTTATATTATTTAAACTGTTTGGCTTAATGGCTCAGGCTTGTAGCTAGCTGTTCTTATATCTTAAATTAACCCATTTCTATAAATCTATACCTTGCCACATGGCTCATGGCTTACCAGTATCTCACATGTTGGTACTCATGGAAGCAGCTGGCAGTGTCTCCTCTACTCAGCCTTCTACTTCCCAGAATTCTATTTTCTGCTTGTCCCACCTATACTTCCTGCCTGGCTACTGGCCAATCAGCATTTTATTTATACAGAGTAATATCCACAGCATGGGCTGTCCTCAACTTATGATCCCATTCCTTCTCTGTTTGGAGTTCTGAGATTATAGGCCTGTGCTATCATGCCTGGTCTGATACTTATGAAAGGGAACAAGAGGTTGTGCATGTGGTTATTAGCTTGCTGTCTTAGACAAGGACAGAGGGGGAAAACCAGATCTGTGTTTTTCATGGATATTCTAGGCATTTGGATCTTTTAGTTTTCCAGAACCTGGAATAAAGAAAAGGAGCTCAGGTCTCTGAAGGAGACTCTCAAATACCTGACACTTCTCAGCTTTCTTGGTCAGTTCAGGGAGTCCTTATTGTCATGTTACTTAGTCTGGAAAGCAGATTTCATGGAGCCCTCACATGCAGTGGTTAAGAGCACTGACTGATCTTCCAGAGGTCCTGAGTTTAATTCCCAGCAACCATATGGTGGCTCACAACCATCTCTAATGGGATCATATATGTTGCTCTGATTGGTTGATAAAGAAAGTCATTTAGCCTATGGCAAAGCAGCTAGAGGCAGGCAGGAAACCAAATGGATAGACAGGAAGAGAAAGGAGAGGTAGAGAAGACTCCAGTGAGCCACCTAAGGAGCAACATGTAACGGGACACAGGTAAAGCCACGGAACATGTGGCCATACATAGATTGATAGTTAAGGGCTGATTTCGAATAGAAGAGCTAGCTGGTGAGAGGTCTGCCATGGCCATAGTTTAAATATAATATAAACCTGTATATGTTTATTTGAAACCGAGTGGCTGAGGTACCGGTGGGTGGGAGAGATTCAGAAGGACCGGAGAAAACTTCTGGCTACAACATGCAACAGAAATTTTATAAGCAAATCTCACATGCCTAACAGGGTTATAGTAAGAATGAATTACTCAGTCATTTTATGAACTACAAAGCACTATACAGATATAGATTCTTAGGATTAAGTAGATAAGACACACTAAGGAAGATATTTTCCTGATAGGGAACAACACTCATTTTGTTTTTTCCCAGTTTAATCTAAAACAATTCATTTGATCTTTCTTTTTTCCTTATTTTTTTTCAGGCAGTATTTTTTCTTTTCTTTTTTTTTTTAATTAAAAGCTACTTTGATATGGATGACATTCATTTCATTTGTTTGTTTTAATTTATTTTGCTTTTTTAGGATTTATTTTTATTTATGTTCATTGGTGTCTTGTCTGCATGTGTGTCTGTGTATGGGTGTTAAATCCCCTGGAGCTGGAGTTACAGACAGTTGTGAGCTGCCATGTGGGTGCTGAGAATTGAACATAGGTCATCTATAAGAGCAGCCAGTGCTCTTAACTGCTGAGCTATCCATCCAGCCTGGCATTCATTTTATAATTCCCTTCCTCAGTGCTCTTCTTCAAACTAGAAAGAAGAAAGTAGACAAGAAATAGAGTATGTTATACTCCCAATAAACAATAAGGGGCTTTCATGGCAGGAAGGACCTATGACCTAGGGCCAAGGATGGCTAAGTCTGCTGTGAATGTGTTCAGTATTTACAGACATACCTGAGAAAAACAGTGCAGGATTTCCATATTTTTCCTTGCTTGAACTGGGACCTTCTGTGAGATATGCCTCTTACACCTGATGGATTAGACATGAAACAGATAGCTCAGATGAATTACTAATTTCAAAATGGTTTCAGGTCATATCAGTATCTTCATACGTGATGTATACTGTATAGAGGGGACTATTTCCCGAGGTGCCACACCCCACCATCCCTCTCCCTTCAGTCTTGCTTCTCACAGGGTGATAACTTCATAGCAAAGAGTTTGTCCCTCCAACAGAGTCACTGCAATAATCAAATGAAGACACTGTGTCAGGAAGTAGAGCAAACACAGCATAAATTATGTCTAATTGCTTATCCCCAGAGCTGCATGGAAAACAGGTCCTAGCTAAAATTTTTGGGGTAGGTGCTCACAGCTTGAAGCCAATATAGAAACCAAGAGCAGATATCAATACCCAATATTGGATTGCATTGGGGAACTCAAGAGTGTTTTAATTCATATTGATGTTAAAATCTGGTCTTCACTGGATCAGGCCCTCTGAATAGGTGAGACAGTTGATTGGCTTGATCAGTTTGAGAGGCATCTAGGCAGTGGGACCGAGTCCTGTGCTCATTGCATGAGTTAGCTGTTTGAAACCTGGAGCTTATGCAGGGACACTTGGCTCAGTCTGGGAGGAAGGGACTGGACCTGCCTGGACTGAGTCTACCAGGTTGATTGCAGTCCTGAGGGCGGGGGGAGGATTTGCCCTGGAGGAGGTGGGGATGGGGGGTAGGCTGGGGGGAAGGGAGGGTGTGGGAGGGGGGAGAATAGGGGAACCTGTGGCTGATATGTAGAACCGAATGGTATTGTAAAATAAAATTAAATTAAATTAAAAAAAAAAATCTGGTCTTCACTTAGGTGGGTATAGAAGAATGGTTAAAATACTGAAGGACAGGTAGAAAAAAAATGCATAGTACCCTGAGAATGATAGAAATTTAGAAGGACATATGGAAAGAAAATCTTGAAAGTTATCAAAAATGATAGATACTCAGGAAACATAATTTCTACTTTACAGTTTATTAGGTTTTCTTATATTCGGTGGGGGATGTTGTTTGTTTGTTATTTTGTTTTTTGGAGTGTGTGTGTGTGTGTGTATATGTGTGTGTGAAAGGTATTTTTTTCATATACTTTTCCTTGTGTTGTCTCTGAAAAGAGAATGAATGTTTAAACAAAACAATTCTTTCAACCACCTGAGATTGGCATTGTTAGTCTTATTTCACCCGTGAAGGATATGAAATTCTAGAGAAGTTGAACTTTCTTCAAGGACAGAAACTCCAGAGAATACACTTTGGAGAACTTTTATTGAGAATATTTTCTAGTAGAAATGGAAAGAGCAGGAGCGAGAGAGAGAAAGAGAGAGAGAGAGAGAGAGAGAGAGAGAGAGAGAGAGAGAGAGAGAGGAAAGAATCAGTTACAGTGGATTTCCATATCACTCCCATAATTAATAATTAATAATTGTTTTTCTTCCTTCAGAAAATGTCTCATGCAGCTTAGGCTGGCCTTGAAACTAAACTGCCAATCTTCCTCCCTCCCTAAGTGCTAGACATCACAGTTCTGTGCCTCCAGGTCATGTTGAAGTGGTGCTTAGAATCCAACCCAAGGCTTCATGCATGCTGGGCAAGAAATCTACCCACAGAACTACATCCCAAACCCACATTGCCTTTAATTTTATAAGGTTACCCTAAGAGGTACTGTGACATTTTAACCCTGTATCACTTTCCATCTCTAAAAGTTCAGGACCATTCTTCTCATAATAACAATGCTAGTTTATTCACATCAAAATATTGACACAGTTGTGGTCTAATATCACCTTTAAAAATTTTAAGACAAGTGTTGCTCTGCTACCTGGAATGTTCTCAAACAAAAATTCTTTTTTAAAACAAAACATACACACATTTCAAAATCTGGTAATAGAAGGATGTAGTAAAAGGTACCTTTACCTATAGGAAGAGAATTAATTAAGAACTTATGAAACACAATTTAAAAAAAAAAAACACTGAAAATCAACACAATAATGCCTTTCTCACCTTTAGGGACAGAAGGCTGGAGAAACAGAGAAACACACTGGTTCTAACCGGAGGTTAATAATATCCAATGTGGCCTCCCAGAAACCTGTTGATAAAACCAAGTTAAACTTACTGCTAGTGAGGTAATAGTTACTGAACAAATGTCTGGCTGTGCTGAAGGAGAAGAGCAAGGTTGAGGAGAAACAAAGAGATCTGGTATTCTAAACTCCGGTCTAACTCAGGCTATAATGTGGAGGTAAGGATATGGTAGTAGATCAGGAGTGGTGGGTATATCAAGCCTAGGATTTTGAGGCCAGGGCTACAAATAAGTATCTTTGATATTTTCTTTCTTTCTTTTTTTTTTTTTTTTCTTTTTTTTGAGACAGGGTTTCTCTGTGTAGTCCTGGCTATCCTAGAACTCAGTGTAGACCAGGCTGGCCTTGAACTCACAGAGATCCACCCGGCTCTGCCTCCCGAGTGCTGGGATTAAAGGCATGCGCCACCACTGCCCAGCTGTATCTTTGATATTTTCTATGAAAGGTAGTAGTTGGATCTTTGAGAAAACCACTGAAATAAGATATCAAAGGGATTTTCAACTTTGTAGTTCCTGGAAGAACATTTCTCGTGTGGTGTATTTAAGATGATGGACACAGGCAACAAAGTTAACTCAGAGTCAGGTTAACTCAGCCTGACTCTGAGTTAACTTTGTCCACGTGGCTGCACCCCCAGAGCATGCTGCACATGCTTGAGAGAGAAGTCAGTTTCTGTCAGTTACACCCTATATTTCAATGCTAGAGAGAAGTACACACAGGAAACCACATTTCAGCTCTTTGCAGAACACAATCAGACATGGCTTAGTTCATTTTAGAAGGCATTTTTGGAAAAATAACAGTGGATTTTACAGATGCCAGGGTTTTTTTTTTTTGTTTTTTGTTTTTTTTAAACTAGAGGTATTCTTCCTTAGGCACTGGAAAACAAACAAACAAAAAACCAAAACCCTTACACCCTTTCTCTTAAGCTTTGTTCTTTTACTCGCCCCCAAACTGCAGACACCACCCAAATGGAACTGCACTCACTCTCCTCCCAACACTTTCCCAACTAAAAATGCTTGAGGCTCTTCTGCATCATTCCACTGCCAGCAAGTCCCACCCCGGTTCAGGTCGGCCAGGAAGTGGGCCGGTAAGTCCTCACAAGAGCTGAGCTCCCTACAAACTCACCAGTCACTCACTCCTGTCACCGCAACAGATGATTTCCTGCAGTCACAGAAATGGTTCTCTAACAGAAGAAAAGAGCGCCTAATGCTTCCTGTCCAAGGGACACAGTGAGCAGCATGTGACGTGGAACAGCCTCTCCGGAGCCAATCACCAGCCAGTACGAACGGATTGGTGGCCGCCAGTCACCTCTACCGGTATCCTAACCCCCTCCTCCGACCCTGACATAGCCCTCTAATCCCAATGTTTCTTGATCCATGGCGTGACCAACCAGGCTGCAGAACGGGTCAATGTCAGTTCTACTCGTCAGGTTTCCCTCTCTGTGGCTAGAATTTTCTCAAGTGGGGACAGGACCCGAATAGCTATGGCTGGGCGGGGCTTGAAAAGGCGCGAAAAGCCTGGAACCTGCTACCCTCCCGCCCTGAGCTGGGCCCTTGGGAACTAGTTTGGGGTGGAGGCTGGAAGCTGAATCCTGATTGCCCCACCAGCAAGCCTAGGGAGAAGAAGCCAAGATTCCAGGTTCTGCAGCGCCATCTGCTGCAGCAGGAGGTCCACTGAAGCCTGCTGAGTCAGTAGGAAGGTTGCAGTTAGGGCAACTCAGGTCTTTTCCTAGGAGGCAACAATCCCTAGAGGGGCAAGGTGACAGACCAAATGCCCTTGTTAGGGAATCATCTTTCAAAACGTGCATCAGTTTATGTAGCTCTTTCTCGTTATTGTTTCAAACAGTATAGTAATTTTTTAAAAAATAAATGCTTCTTTAATATAGATGAAATTGTTTATCCACTGCATTCCCCATATCCATTTACCAAAATAGAAAGACTAAAAGCATCTGAGAACGTTTCAGTGTATCTCATATTCCTAACATACAAGGAGGCAATGTCTGAGCAAGAAGAACTATGGGACTCAGAATCAAGTCGACTATGGTTATAATGTAAAAGTAGTATTTATAGACACACCTCAAGAAAATACTGTGCCAAATTCTTATCAGAAATCATCTCTGATTGCTAGCTTCCACAACTGCCATAGAAAGCAGGTCCTATCTAGATTTTGCCTTAAGTAAGAGTATCTCTAGCTAAGGGGCTGATGTACCCAAACCCACATCTAGGAAGGGAGATAGAATTCAAATGCAAGCAGCAGTTCCTTGTGAAGGAACTTGCAGTTGAAGAATTTAGAAGTATATTCTATTTACCTTGATGCGAAAATCTGGGTCTCCTTTAAGATGGAGGTGAGGGATGGTAAACTACTTGGAAACAAGTAGAAAAGAAGCTAGGTAAGATGTGGTAACAAACTTGTAAAAAGATATCAGAAAGAAGCCAAGAAAGCTTATCTAAAATAATAGTTAGGAACACGAGTTACTATTTGGGTTTTGTTCAAAGGAGTATTTTCTCTGTGTCTTTCAAACAAATGAACAATTTAAATAAAATATCCAAAGCTTTAACAGTGGTGAATACCACTAGGAATATAAAGACCACTGGGGATAGGAGGGACACCTATCTTCAATACTTCACCATCTAGACAATGGCTGGACATGACATCAGTTACGGAATTCTCATGGAATTAATAAAAATCATTTTAAGAGCACACAATCCACCAATGAATAGAATGGGTATATGCTATCTTATGTCATGTTTAAGTGCTTTTCACATAAACATCCTCACATAATTTGTTCAGTCCTAAGAGGTGGAATCATTAATCCCTACTTTACCCATAAAGAACTGGAAATTCTAAAGAGGTTAAACTCTTATTCAAGGCCACAGAACCCCAGAGAGTATACTTTAGAGAGTGTCTCTTAAGATCATTTTCTAGTAGAGATGAAAATATGGGAGGGGGAGGAAAGGGGAGGGAGAGGGAGAGGGGCCTTGGACCTCAAGCTTCTGGTCCTCTCACCTGCCCTCCCAACTGCCTGAGTTGAATGCATGCGCCACAACTTTAGTGCTCTGCAGTATCGGTGATCAAACCCAGGGCTTTGTGGACCAAGGGCGAGCACTCTTCCAGCTGTGCCACTTCTCCTGTCCTGTGTTGTCGTTTGTTTTACCAGGTTACAGATAGAGACGTTATGACTTTTTAACCTTAAGACTTCCCATCTCCAAAAGCCAGGACTTTTAGTCATACTAACACAATGCCAATTTATTCACATCAAAATACTAGTAGAGATATAGAAACAACGTGCCTTCCCAGTGAGAAACCACTCCCTATTTTTAGAGGTTAATGAAGGCAAAGCTCTTCAATGGTGCTTATCTGACTCTGGCTACTGCTCAAAGAGGAGCTGGCCTGGAATAGAGGATTTTACTAACTATATACACCCAAGGCTTATGCATTCCACATACACTGTCATTCTTAAATCTCTCAAGTCCCCATCGCAAGTCACACTTTTAACAATTTAAAGAGAGGCAGGAGACTGTGAGTCTGGCCACTTAGGCAGTTGGGAAACTTAAACTGCAAAGATATTGCCAGAAAATTTCATATGTACACCAGTTTTGGTTTCTTCTTCTTCTTCCTCTTCTTCTTCTTCTTCTTCTTCTTCTTCTTCTTCTTCTTCTTCTTCTTCTTCTTCTTC